GGAGCAGCAGTTTGGGAGGCCAAGGAGGGCAGATCGCTTGAGCCCAGGAATTTGAGTCCAGCCTAGAAGACATAACAAAAACCCCATCTCTACAAATACAAAAATTAGCTGGACATGGTAGTGCATGCCTGTAGTCCCAGCTACTCAGAAGGCTGAGGTGGGAGGATCGCTTGATCCTGAGAGGTCGAGGCTGCAGTGGGTTGAGATTGTGCCACTGCATTCTAGCCTGGGCAACAGAAAAAAAAAAAAAAAAAAAAGAGAGACCACCTTGATACCCAGAGCCCACCAACATCATTCAAACTAGCCAGTCCTAAATGGTTTCCCCTGCCTTGCCTGTCTTTCCCACAGAAAACATCATAAAGGCCGTGGCCTATGCTTTTTCCTTGCTCCTTTCTGCCTCCTGACCGACACTGGTGCTTCCCCAGGTGGTCCTGCATGTGGCGGTATGCCCCCTCCTCTTGGGAAATCAAAGAAATAAAAAATTCATCTTTCAACGTCATTAGCCTCTCTGTGTTGTTTCTCGGAGTTATGATCTGAATGTCTGTGTCCCCTGCAGATTCTTAAGTTGACACCTAACCCACGCCAGGGACAGTGGTTCATTCCTGTAATCCCAGGGCTTTGGGAGGTCGAGGTAGGAAGATTGCTTGAGCTCAGGAGTTTGAGGCCAGTTTGGACAGCTTAGTGAGACCCTGTTTCTACCAAAAAAATTTTTTTAATGAGCACATGCCCGTAGTCCCAGCTACCTGGGAGGCTGAGGCAGGAGGATTGCTTGAGCCTAGAATTTGGAGGTTATAGTGAGCTATAATCACCACTGCACTGCAGCCCAGGTAACAGAGCAAGACCCTGTCTCAAAAAAGAAACCTGACCTGCAGTGTGATAGTACTACAAGGTGGGGCCTTTGAGAATGATTAGGTGATGCGATGGGCTCATCACGAAGGGGATTAGTGCCCCTAAAAAGGAGACCCAGAGAGATCCATTTCCCTTCACCACGTTAGCATATGGCAAGAGAATGGCCATCAGTAAACCAGAAAGTGGGCCTTTAGCAGACACTGAATATGCTGGAGCTTTCGAGACTTCCTAGCACTGTGAGAGATAAATATTTGTTATTTAAACCACCCATTTGGCCGGGCTCAGTGGCTCAGGCCTATAGTCCCAGCACTTTGGGAGGCAAAGGTGGGTGGATCACTTGAGGTCAAGAGTTCAAGACCAGCCTGGCCAACATGGTGAAACCCTGTCTCTACTAAAATACAATTACTCGGGAGGCTGAGGCATGAGAATCATTTGAATCTGGGAGGCGGAGGCTGTAGTGAGCCAAGATCATGCCGCCATACTCCAGCCTGGTGACATAGTGAGACTCTGTCTCAAAAAAAAGAAAAGAGCCAGGCGCTGTGGCTCACGCCTGTAATCCCAGCCCTTTGGGAGGCCAAGGCGGGTAGATCACTTGAGGTCAGGAGTTTGAGACCAGGCTGGCCAACATGGTGAAACTCCATCTCTACTAACAATACAAAAATTAGCTGGGTGTGGTGGCAGGCGCCTGTAATCCCCGCTGCTTGGGAGGTTGAGGCAGGAGAATTGCTTGAGCCCAGGAGGTGGAGGTTGCAGTGAGCCGAGATCCTGACACTGCTCTCCAGCCTGGGTGACAGAGCAAGACTTCATCTCAAAAAACAAACACCCATTCTATGGTATTTCTGTGATAGCAGCCTGAATGGGCTAAGACATCTCTATAAATTAAAATCCCACAGATACAATCATTGATCCGATAAGTCAGGTAGCTCACCTGTCACACAAGACTTTGAGATTTAGCATAAAAGCAAAAGCAAGCTATTAAGTATTGAGTGTTTAGTATGAGGCCGTCACTGTGACTCTAACTGACTCTGAGGGGAAGGCATTGTTCAATCCAGTTTCGGGTTGCCCCTTACCACCCGAAGCCCAGAGCCCTCAGATGGAACAGAAGCAGGGATGCCTACCTTTCGGGTGGAATGTTATCCGTGTTGCTGCTGTGGCGTCTCTGCATCTTCCTTAACACCTAAAACCCAACACAGGGGTGAGCCAGAGTCTCCCAACACTCCCACTGCCTGTCCGATTGCCAAGGTAATTGTAAACTGCAAACCCACTCTAGTGGTATCTTAGACCCCTAGTGCTCTCTGGCATTTTCCAAAGTGTGTTTCAATCTTTCATGCCATTCCATCCTCAAGGTGACACTCTATCCCATGAGGGAAGCTATCATCCCATTTCACAGAGGAGGACGATGAGGCTCAGAGGCGGAAGAAGTCCTCATTTGAGAGGATAAAGCAGTGAACTGTGTAGCCGAGAGGTGCCAAATGAAGTGAAGTGGGCAGTGGACTGGCAGTTGGGAGACATGGATTCTGGGTTGATGCTGCTGCTAACTTGCTGTGTGACCCTAGACAAATCAGTAACCTCTCTGTGGTTTCAGATTCCCCATGTGTTACGTGGGAGGGGTGGGGTGGTCAAACCAAAGCTTCCTTCCAGCTCTCACATTTAATCAAGTAGCCATAAAGATGCAAATTCTCTTGGAGACATGTCACCTGATTCACTGTGAAGAGCCACATGGACTTCAGAACTCCATGATGATGACACTGGAGGTAGGCATTCGGGGCTCCTGAGGGGGATGTGACCACTGGATCCCAGAGAGGACAGGCCTCCCCCTCCTCTTCGTCTCCAGAGGGATGCACAGTCAGGGGAGCTCTCCAGAGACTCTGGACCTGGATGGAACAGAACACTTGGATGAACAGTCCCTGCGATACCTGGAATCTGCTAAGAAGCCTTAGGACATGGCCAGTGGCTGTAAGCAAATGGATTCCATCTGCTCAGTATCTCTGGGTAGCCTCTCATTGATCCCTCTTTGAAACTCCTTTTTTTTTTTTTTTAAAGATAGAGTGTCACTCTGTCACCCAGGCTGGAATGCAGTAGTGTGATCTCGGCTCACTGCAAACTCTGCCTCCTGGGTTCAAGCGATTCTCTTGCCTCAGCCTCCTGAATGGCTGGGATTACATGCATGTAACACCACATCTGCCTATTTTTTGTATTTTTAGTAGATACGAGGTTTCACCATAATGGCCAGGCTGGTCTTGAACTCCTGACCTCAAGTGATCCACCTGCCAGGGCCTCCCAAAGTACTGGGATTACAGGCATAAGCCACCACGCCTGGCCCTCTTTGAAACTCTTAATGTATTGTATTTCATCCTATTGTCAAACTAAGAGTCTTGATTGGAGAACACTGAAAATATGTTTTAAACTCCCATGGCTGCCCATTGCAATCAGAATCAAACCCAAGCTCTGTCCACAGCCTACAGGTTCTTCCTGAGGTAGCATCATCAGTTTCCAACTGCATTTCCTCCCATTCTCCCTTTTCCCACCCCTGTCCACCCACAGTGGCTCTTCTGTTCCTCTAATATGTCAGCATGTCCCTGCCTCAGGGCCTTTGCACTGGCTGTTCCCTCCCCTTGGAATACTTTCTCCTCTAAATGTTACAGGGCTTGGTCCCGCAGGGCAAACTCCACCTCCTCCCTGAGGCCTTCTCTTCTCATTCTCCCAACCCTCTATAACACTACCCTGTTTTATAGTCTTCACAGTACTTATTTGTTCATGTTTGCTTATTTACTTATGATTTGCTCCCCCCCCCCATTAGAATATAAATGCCATTCATGAAAGTAGGGATCCTGTCTACTTGGTTCACCCCTCTGCCTCAGCATCTAGGACACTGTCTGGCACAGAGTAGCACTCAACAAGTATTTACTCAATGAATAAAACATCTATGGGTCTCCCAGTTCCCCTTTTTTAGATCCCTTGCTCTCTGTCCCACCTTTTACCCAAGCAAGGCAATAAGGGCCATTTACCTCCTACGAATAGGTTTAGCCTCCGTGAATATCTTCTTGTCTCCGAACCAAAGACAGTGTCTATCAGTTCAGGGCACTATTACTGACTGTTGAATGACTTCCTAATCCTGACTTGGCTTCTTGGGGGGCAGCGTTGATGTCACTAGGGGCACTGATTAGAAACAACCCGCCAGTGAAGCTTTCTTTCTCCTTTGAAAAATTAGGTAACAAATCAGTCAGCAGTAGCAACTTCATATATAAAGAAAAGGTCATTGCATAAATATTTTTCAAGAATCTACAATCTCAACTTAATCTCCCTCTCACCTCCCCCCGCCCCCATTATCCCACATTGCAAATCCTTGGGGTAAAATAAAATTTAGTATTCCAAAGTTCTCATCCACACATTTAATACCGCCTCCTAAATCGAATGCTCAAGACTACTTTCGGATGCTTGTATTGGAAGAGGCTTCGGCTTCTCTGTTGGAAGCAGGCCGTACATAATTCTGGAATAAATTTTTGCACGCGGGATGCATCTGAATGAATGAAACGCCTTTTAACCCTCTGCTTCGTACATCCCACTATGCATCTTTGAAGGACAGCACCGAGAATTTTCGATGCTTGCGATGTTTCAAGTTACGCCCCCGGGGCCCGTTACAGGACTGCACCGAAATGCATTCAGCGGAGCATCGCCTGCATCACTTGGACTGGAAACCGGCAGGTGCACTTAGGGGACGACATAGCGAGCGCTTTTCATCCCTGCAACCGACACACCGCAAAACGCTCTGGGACTGCAAGGGCAGGAGACTACACAGACCATGTTGGGAGAAAAGAAAAAAACATCGCGTTCTCTTTTTACCTGCCCAGACAATTCAGCAATCACAGCCGCATCATTCAGGTCCAGCCAAGCCAATCACCCGCGCAACTCGGGCAGCATGTGACTTCCGATGCTTCCGGCCTCGTATTCGGTGGTTTCACGGCGTCGCCCGGCCAGGCGCTAGGACCCGGGCACAGCTACGCCCGTCGCACTCGCTCGATTGCCCGCCCCCTTTCCCGGAATTTAGCCAATAGGAGGCCGCCGCTCCGCAGGGACCAATGGTGAGGAGATCTTGCGCGACTAGCCCATGACGCTACGGAGCGGAGGCGGGGCGTAGGGCGGGGTCACGTGGGGCGGCGCGCAGGGCTGCCGGGAGCTGACAGGGCTGCGGGCCGTGGGGCCGGCGCCCACCTGGAGGGATGGGGTTGCCGGTCGCGTAGGGGCCATGCCGCCCGGATCCCGGGCCTCCCGCGTTCCGCGCCCCGGCCGCCGCGCCCCACGTCCGCGCCGGGATGGTGAACCTGGCGGCCATGGTGTGGCGCCGGCTTCTGCGGAAGAGGTGGGTGCTCGCCCTGGTCTTCGGGCTGTCGCTCGTCTACTTCCTCAGCAGCACCTTCAAGCAGGTCAGTGGCCGCCCTTCCCTTCTTCCTTCCTTCTTTCCTTCCTTCCTTCCCATTCCCTTCTTTTCTCCTTCCTGTCCTTCTTCCTGCCTCCTTTTTCCCTTCCTCCCTCTCCTCCTCCCCCTTCCTTTCCTTCCTTTTTCATTTCCTTCCTTCCCTTCTTCCTGCCTCCTTTCCTTACCTTCCTTTCTTCCTTCCTGCCCCTTTCCTTCCTTCCTCCTTCTTTCCTTTTTTCCTCCCACTTCCCTTCCTTCCCCTTCCCTTCCGTCTTCCTTCCCTTCTTCCTTCTGTCCCCCGCCCTTTTGCCCCTCTCCCTTTCTTCCTTTCCTCCCTCCTTTCTTCCCTGACATCCTCTTTGCTCACTTCCTTTTTCCTTCCCTAATTCCTTCCTTTCTCTCCTTTCTTCGTTCTTTCCTTCCCTTCTTCCTTCCTCCCCTTTCTCCGTTGCTTCTTCCTTCCTTCCTTCTTCCTTCTTCTTTCCCTTCCTCCTTCCATTTTCCTTCATGTCCCTCTCTCTTTCTTCCTCCTTCCTTTGCTCCTTCCTCGTTCCTCACCTCGTTCTTACTCCTTCCTTCCCTCCTCCTCCTCCTCCTTCCTCCTCTCTTTTGTCCGACCTCCTGGCTTCTGTAGCGGCGCTGCCGGGAGCGGCCGAGGGTGGGGAGAGGTGTGCATTCCTGTCCGGGTCTCAGCACGGGCAGAGGACCTGCTCACCGCGTTGGGTCTGCAGCGAGAAGGGGTTGCTAGGCCAGGGCAAAGCTGGGTCTCGAACCCCGAGTTGAGGACCCTTCAGCAGTGGTGACTGCTTTTATGTACACCTTCCTGCTTTTTACCTGCCGGGTCCAGAGCTAAGAGAGGGCGTGCAAATGCTCGCTTCATCCTTGCGGCAGAAGTGGAGCGTCCCCGTGTTGCAGCCTGAGAAAGGAAGACACAGAGAGGTGGCCAGGGTCGGCCAGCGCTGGCATAGGTGCCCTTCGTTTAATCTGGGGGCTCTGTGTCCTCCTGGGCGACTTAGAAGGACCCACAGTTCCTTTTCTGCTTTCTGTGCATAACTTGATCGGTGGAATTCCATCCCTCCAACACACTGCACCCCTTCATTTTCCTTCCAGGTGAGGATTTGTGGGAGAAACAGCAAGGAGCTTGGGTGGGAAGTCTGACCCAAAGCATTCATAAGTATGTTTAGTTCAGGTTGAGTGCTTAGATTTGTAGAAAGGGTGGTTACTACAGCCCAGGGTACATTCAGGATAACCCTAGGTTTGCTGTTGTCCTGACGTGGTTATAAAAAGCTCTCCTTTTTACTCTCAAAGCTCAAGTTTGTAAATAAAATACGTAAACTAGTAGAACACTGATAAAACTATGTGGTCACCCTCGTTTTAGTGGATTGGCAGAAGCTGTGAAAAGGGAAGAACAGGGAATTGTATGTGACCTCCCTCCCACCTTAGGCAAACAGAGAGGCCGAGTGTGATAAGCCTCTTTTGTTGGCTGGGATGTCTGGGTGATCATGTGAGCGACCAGACTTCTGTGACTTGTGTTTTCTGCCACCTCCGACACCTCCTCACAGTCACGTGTTATCCCTTCTCTGTCTTGTGGACTCCTGAGTGGTGGCGTGTGCCAGGAATCCGTCCTCTGCCTTCCTCTCTACCTAACTCAGGTGATCTCTGGGGCCATTGTTAAATACTCAGGTGATCTCTGAAGGGATACTGGTGGTGCCCTCAGTTGATAACTCCAGCCTAGACTTGTCCAGAAATCCCCAAATTCTTATATCTAATTGCCTAGTTGGCATCTTTTTTCTTTTTTTCAAAAAATTTTTATTGTGGTAAAATATGACATAAAATTTCCCATCCTAACTTTTTTTTTTTTTTTAACACAGAGTCTCTGGGTCACAGATAAACAAGTAAATGAACAAGAAATGTTCAGTTAGCGATTCCTACCACAGAATCTCTTGTCACTAGGCTGGAGCGCAGTGGCACGATCTCAGCTCACTGTAACCTCCAGCTCCCGGGTTCAAGCAATTCTCCTGCCTCAGGCATGTGCCACCACACCCGGCTAATTTTTGTGTCTTTAGTAGATGGGATTTTGCCACGTTGGCCAGTCTGGTCTTGAACTCCTGACCTCAAGTGATCCACCTGCCTTGGCCTCCCAAAGTGCTGGGATTACAGGCATCAGCTACCACACCCGGCCCTATCTTAACCATTTTTAAAGTGTGCAGCTCAGTAGTATTAAATACAGACTTAACGCTGTGCGACCATCACCACCATCCATCCCCATGACTCTTGTAGAAACTGAAACTTCATACTCCTTAAACAATAGCTCCTCATTTCTCCCTTCCCCCAACCCCTGGCAGCCACCCTTCTACTCCTTGGTTGATGTTGAATGTGTTTTTGTTTGGACCAAACAGAACTCTTGATTCTCTGCCAGCACTTGTTCCTCTCCGAGTCTTCCCAGTCTCACTCAGCGGCATTACTGTTCCCCAGGTATTCAAGACACTTCATTCTTTTTCCTCTCACTCCCTATATCCGAAATATTGGCTCTGCCTCCAGAGTGTATCCTGAATCTGTTCGTTTCTTCAGAGTGTCACTGCCACCCTAGGCCAAGCCACTGGCATCTCTCATGTCAGATAAAACTCCGGATGCTGTTCCAGGATCTCTGCACGGTAGAATCTTTTTTGTCATTTCAGTTCATACTGTTACTGTTTCAGACTATACCTGGTGACAAAGTGTAAATTACTTCCATTCCTTGCTCTGAAACCTGCTTTATTTTCTTTGTGGTAGGAATCACGAACTGAGCATTTCTTGTTCATTTGCTTGTTTATCTGTCTTGCTTCGCTCTCTCTTAATATTCTCGAGAACAGAGACCTTGTCTGTCTTGTTCATAGACTCTCCAGCCCCCAGGATACTGTCATCCACTTCATGGGAATCCAAATATTGACTGAACAAACAAGTGAGTCTTTTTAATTGGGATGACTATTTCTTTTCAGTCTGGCATACGTCTGCTAGCCTTTCACCTCTTGGCTCACGTGCTGTTCTGTGACCTTCCCTACAGCCACCTTTTCAGTACCCTGACACATCATCTTCATTTTAACTTACAGTCATGCATCACTCAAGGTTCTGAAAAATGCATCTTTAGGTGATTTTGCTACACCCGTAGGCTGTGTGACGCGGACTATTGCTCCTAGGCCCTGAGCCTCTGCAGCATCTGACAGTACTGAATACTGGAGGCCATTGCAACACAATGGGAAGTATTTGTGGACCTAAATATATCTAAATATAGAAAAAGTATGGTAAAAATACTGTAAAGAAAAAAATGGGCTGGGCGTGGTGGCTCACACCTGTAATCCTAGCAGTTTGGTAGGCTAAGGTGAGTGGATCACTTGAGGTCAGGAGTTTGAGACCAGCCTGGCCAACATGGCAAAACCCCATCTCTACTAAAAATACAAAAATTAGCCAGGCATGGTGGCACACGCCTGCAATCCCAGCTATTCGGGAGGCTGAGGCATGAGAATTGCTTGAACCCAGGAGGTGGAGGTTGCAGTGAGCTGAGATCATGCCTCTGTATTCCAGCCTAGGCAACAGAGTGAGACTCTGTTAAAAAAAAAAAAAAAAAATAAGAAGAAAAGCTGGGCACGGTGGCTCACGCCTGTAATCCCAGCACTTTGGGAGGCCGAGGTGGGCAGATCACGAGGTCAGGAGTTCAGGACCAGCCTGGCTAGCACAGTGAAACCCCGTCTCTCTACTAAAAATACAAACATTAGCTGGGTGTGGTGGTGCGCACCTGTAATTCCAGCTACTCAGGAGGCTGAGGCGGGAGAATCGCTTGAACCCGGAAGGCGGAGGTAATAGTGAGCTGAGATTGTGCCAGTGCACTCCAGCCTGGCGACAGAGCCAGATTCCTTCTCAAAAAAAAAAGAAGAATAAAAATGGTACACCCATAAAGGACACTTACCGTGAATGGAGCTTACGGGACCAGAAGCTGTTCTGGATGAGTCGGGGTTGAACGTGCAGGCCTAGGACATCACTGTGTACCACTGTCAAGTGTACACAGGCTGCACTGCATGTATTTTAAGATTTTTCTTTAGGAAGTTAATATTCACTTACTGTAATGTTTTTACTTTATAAACTTTATTTTTTTCAACTTTTTGGCTGTTGTATTAACATTTAGCTGAAAACACAAACACATTGTACAGTTGTACAAAAATATTTTTCTTATTTGTATCCTTATTCTATAAGCTTTTTTCCCCCAAATTTTGTTTTATTGCTTTTTAAACTTTTTTTTGTTAAAAACTAAGACAAGCACACATGTTAGCCTAGGGTTTCCACAGGGTCAGGATCACCAGTGTCCTGCCTTCCCCTCCACATCCTGCCTTCTTTTGTGTCCTTCAGCAACACTGACAGTGCTCTCTCCTGGTACAGATTTATCCCTCATCGTTATTAGTGCGCTGGATATTTCCCTGACTAGTGGTCGAAGATGAACATCTTACTGGTTTTGGTAATTTGAATGTTCTGCTTCTGAAGGGACCTAGTGATGCCCTTTGACCATTTTACTATTGGGTGTCCTCTGTCACTTTGTAGGAATTCCCTGTGTTTAGGGCTACTATTTCTTTGTGGTTCGGGCTGGGACTCTGATTCAGGTCCACCTGATTTTAAAGCCCACATTCTCAATTTGTGACCATCATGATAGAGATGAAATGCGTAACATGCAGCCTTGGTTTTGCTTGCACGGTTATATTGTCGTCTTGTTTTGTTTTGTTTGTTTGTTGAGATGAGTGGAGACGGCTCACTGCGGCCTTTGCCTCCCAGGCTCAAGTGATTCTCCTACCTCAGCCTCCTGAGTAGCTAGGACTGCAGGTGCGCACCACTATACTTGGCTAATTTTTCGTATTTGTATTTGTATTTTTTTGAGACACAGTTTAGCTCTTGTTGCCTAGGCTGGAGTGCAGTGGCGTGATCTCAGCTCACTGCAACCTCCTCCTCCCAGGTTCAAGAGATTCTCCTGCCTCAGCCTCCCGA